TTGCTTAGCGTACTTTTTATTTGTGCTTATTTATACCATTCTTACTCATATCTATCTTATATCATTCTTGCAAGAACAAATTGATCAATATTATTTTTAATTAACTTCTAATCGGGATTAGATTAGCATAAGACCCTAATCACCCCTCATCTAGGGTCTAACACATACAAATTATTTGAATTTGGTAATATTTTGAGAGACTAATCTCAAAATATAAAAGAGTTGAGGGACTAATACGAAATAACCCTATTATATTTTAGGGGTTGTTTGGTTGGTGTCTTGATATATGCTATGGATCTAGAGAACTCCATACATGATTTTTTTTGTTTGCGATGGATATTAAAGTGTATTTGCATAGAACAAAACCAACCAAATTTTGTTTGGTTACTGCTAAAAACCCTAATTTGGTTTCACACACGTCGACAAAGCACGTGCAAAACCTCTATCAGATCGTCGACAAATTGACTAATAGTCCAAGAAATTCAAGACCGAATCACAGAAATCTGATGAAATCAATAACCTTAAGATCAATGTCTTCTATAATATTTTCTGCAAAATTAAAGATTAAAAATGGCTAGGGCTGGCTATATATATAGCTTCAAGAGAATTCCTACTACAATGAATACTTTCCTAACCCATCTTTCTGAATAAAAAATAATTCCTTATGGACTCAAATTTTCCTAATCAAGCTTTCCTAATAAAAACCTAATCCTAATCGAATCCAATTTTTCTAATAAAATGATAATTCTAATAGACTCAAACTTTCCTAATAAAAAGATAATTTCTAATCGGGAATCATACCATTCTCCCTCCTTCGATATTGCACTCGTCCTCACGTGTACATTCCAGAAATCTCTCCTTAAGCTCATCATAATCCTCCCATGTTGCCTCGTCTACATCTAATCGCTTTTAGTATATCAACACATGCTAAATCCTTTTCTTAGTGTGTTTTTTGTTTTTTTTATCTAACTACTATAGCAAATCACCTTCTTAGACACCAGCCTCATATGCCCCTCTTAATCAAACGAGCGTAATTCGCTAGCAATCAATCAGGAGTCACCTGCCTTCTTTTCAACACCGTCACATGAAAGACTAGATGTAACAATGACGATTCTGGTAACTCCAAGTTATAAGCTACCTCTCCAATCCGTTGCAAAATTTTAAAAGGCACATAATACCTTTGAGACAACTTCACATTAAATCTCTTCTTTAAGGACCGACATCTATAAGGTTGCAAGTTTAGATGCACATATTCACCTGGCTCAAAAGTTACACCGCGCTAACAATTCTTGCTCAACGTCCTCACTCTTAGTCGTTCCCGTATCATAGGATGGTAGTACCGGCGGTTGATGACCTGCATCAGCTTAAATGGACTCCAATGAATCGATGAATTGAATGAAGTTGTACAAATAATCAGCTCAAGGAAAGTAGTCCTTCCACCTATGCTGCTTCTTATGACAATAGCTTTGCAGATACTGCTCTAGTGCCCTGTTCACGACATCTGTCTATCCATTAGTCAGTGGATGATAAGATGAACCCGCTTTTAGTTTACTTCCCTGCAGTGTAAATAACTCATGCCCAAAAAAGCTCATGAATAGCTTCCTCCGATCTGTAACTATACTCCTCAGAATCCCATATAAATGGACCAAGTTCTCCACTCTCATCCAAATCTAATTGTAACTAGCCCTCAAATCTAGCTTCACAGACACTGTAGCACCATGCAACTTATCCAGTATCTCATCAATAGTCAGAATACGAAAACAATCCTGCATTGTTGCTTCATTCAAAGCCCCATAATATGTGCAAAACCTCCATGATCCATTGTTCTTTTTAACTAAAAGAGTAGATGTTGAAAAAGGACTTTGACTTGGCCTAATCAACCCACTCCTCAGCATCTTCTAGACTTGCCTCTCGATCTCATCCTTCTAAATTTGAGCATATCGATAATGTGACATGGTAATTAGCTTCGACTCGTCCTTTAGAACAGTCATGTGATCCTAAATGCTCGATGATGGTAACTCGATTGGAACCAATGTAACTCTTTGATGTTGTAACACTACCTACCTCATTATATCCTCCATTCATGGTAGTGGATCCTTTGTGTCATCCCCCACACTCAACTTGGCCAGCAGTAAGTAAACACCCTTGAAAATCACTCGATCAACAACCTCTATGACAATAGCATAGCATTCAGCTCCTCCCTTGTATAAACCGCTCGAATACATTGGCCTCACACTCCTTCAACCTCTTGGGAACATCAGTCCACGAGTGCCTCTTGCCTCCAAATTAGAACATCATCCGCATATCCTCAAAATTCATCTTCACATCTCCTTTTCTGATTTCAATACCTGATTGTTTCTTGTTGCTGAACTCCTTATTATCAGAGGCGATAAATATTTAATCTCCTCCCCATCCTCTTTAAATTTTGCTTCATAATTATGAACCCCTCTTCTAATATTTCGATCCTCTTCTGATTTGTGATTAATCTGATATCTGAAATTGACAATGATTCCGTCATTGTAGATAATCAAACACATCTCTCAAAGAAAGCACCAAATTAATAATTAAGAACCCTAATTTAGTTCCACACATTTGACAAAGCACATGTTAAACCTTTATCAGATCGTCAACAAAGCGACCTAATAGCCCAAAAAATCCAAGACTAAATCCCAGGAATCCGATAAAAATCAATAACCTTATGATTAGGGGTTGTTTGGTTGTGCACTTTTTGAGAAAACTTTTCTCAAAATATCTGACAATGGTAATTTTGTAATTAAAAGTTTTCCATAGATTTCTGTAAATTGTGTTTGGTTCAACAAAAAATTTATAGAAATATTTTCTATAAAATATCAAAAACTACCAAATTTTACAAAAAGCAATTTCCTCTCAAAATGAGAGGAAATCAACAGGAAATCTGACACATTCCTTATTTAATCAACAAAACTCGTCCCATACCCATTTTCTATAAAGTTATGAGGGAAATCTGACACATTCCTTATTTAATCAACAAAACTCGTCCCATACCCATTTTCTATAAAGTTATGAGTCATTTTCTTGTTTTGAACCAAACAAGCAAAATACAACAAATAAAAAAATTGGTACTTTTTAACTTCTCAAAACTTTTCCTATAATTTGTTTAAGAAATACAAGGAAATCATATTTTGGGTGGAAAACATTTCCTATAATTTCTAGAAATTGAACCAAACACCCCCTTAATGTCTTCTACAATATTTTCTCCAAAATCAAAGATGAAAAAAGCCTGGCGAAGGTCGGCCATATATATATACCCTCAAGAAAATTTCTATTACAATGGAAATTTTCCTAATTAAACTTTCCTTTTAAAAATAATCCCAAATGGATTCAAACTTTCCTAATAAAAAGTAATTCTTAACGGGCTCAAACTTTCCTAATAAGATAATTCTAATAGACTCAAACTTTTCTTACGAAAAGATAATTTTTAGTCGGGAATCATATTAGTTACACATGTACTCTGAAGAGGATATGAAGAGGATATATGACTAAAATCACAAATTCGAGTGGAATCACCATATTTGAGGCATCTATTGTACGCGGCGATATTCTAAAGTCTTCGGCATGAAAATTGACAAAGAAATATTTTATTTAAAAAAAAACCTAAGATTTTAAACTTGTGCATGCCATTCTTCGATGCAAAAACCACCCGTGCATGGAAAACCGTTGGTGCCTATATTGGCGATCAACGCTGAGAGTTTGTCCTAATTTCCCCGAAGGGAATGTTTGATCATTTGGGCTAAGTCCACGAAATAAGGGCCCAATATGGGATACAACCAAAGCGGTCAACGTCCGGCAGCCAAACCATAATTTTCTTCCCACCTCCTCTGCCAATGCCCGTGGGTCCCACAGGGCCACAGACATATATTCGTCAAAGCCCAGAGAGCGCCAGAGGTTGGTTTTCGTCTCTCTGAATATTCCATCACGACCATAAGACGGGCACCCGACTCCGGACCACCGAATGAAGCGTGGGCCCCGAAGAGTGGGTGTGACGGGCAGCAAGTTCGTAAGTGGTTTATTGGGGGAAACAGGAAAAAGGATGCGGGAGGAGCATGCGCTCTCACCAGCCGCTCGCTGGATAAAAAGGCAAAAGAGAAATGATTTTTTTATTTAGCAACCCGGGTTTCATTCTTATTTATTTTTCGATCCATTCACTGTCAAAATTCTTCTCAAACCCAAAAACGTGCGTTGAATTATTTTTTGTTGCACAAGCGTAGCTGTTGCTACGCGAAATATAGCTATTTGCTACCTGTGATCTATAATTTAATAAAAGCACTCTTTTTGATTTGTGTGTCACATTTTCAGAAATTCTAGAAATACCCTCATGCTCTTAAAATCATAAGAATCAACTAGGAAATTTGATAAAAATCTCATATCAAATGGACCAACGGTGGTAACAAGTTGACATATATCATTTTTCTTATATTTCAATCAGATATTAATGGCTTTCTAAGAGAAGCATCACCTATGCAATAAGATAACCAGCCCTATGACTCTGCTCCAAAAATAGTTCCTTCGAAATTGCCTCGACGTTTACGTATTCTGGAGAGTGTGGGCTCGAAAACAAATCAGAACGAAAAATTGGGTTTGCAGAAAACTTTAAAATAATATGCGACGAATAAATTCCGTCTCCCTCATTTCTCCCCTATCGCCCTGCTCTCTTCTCCTCTCTCCCTCTCTCTCAATCACTCGCTCCCAAATTCTTCACTCGAATATTTAGGGTTTCTTCTACTCATCTCGATCTCGATCCCTTTTTCCAAAAAAATTCAACCAAAGTTGTGGTGAAGCAACAAGCTGTGCTCTGAATCATCAATCTCAAGGATCCTCTACCTCGATCTGAGGAATTCGCTTCACTAGGGTTTGTTCCGTGTTCCGATCTGGTGAGCGATGGGACTGCGAGCTTGAGATTGAAGTAGAGAGAGAGAGAGAGAGAGAGAGAGAGAGAGGAGGAGAGATGTTTGTGAGTAGGCCCCGCCGATGACGGAGGCGGCGGAGACTCCGGCGAGGGTGAGGATGAAGGACGTCCAGGGGATGCCGGGGACCGCCGGAGGTCTCGTTCTCAGGCTCTTCCAGTTCTTTTTCGCGGTCGCCGCGCTTTGCGTTATGGCTACCACCAGCGATTTCACCTCCGTCACCGCATTCTGGTACGTTCTTTTAATTTTTTGGTTTTTTTAAGTAACTCAGGTAATTTTCGCATGTTAGAGTTAGCTTATTTAGTTAAAACCTGTGGGGTTACCCAAAAGTTTCACCCTCTTTTTAACTTTTATAGCTTTAGGTTCTATTTTGTGACGTCCCAAAAGTACAAAAGAGTTGTGCCCTAATTTTGTTCAAGAATATCAAAAATGGAAAGTAGAATGAGAAACAATTTTCTTACGTAATTTGGGTTTTTATTTGAGTTTAAGGAAATTTTATTGATATAAGGGATTTGCACCTTGCTTCATTTGTATGAATACGGAATTCATTTTTAGCTTTAGTTTATTTTTTTTGAAGTAATTCAAAGTAATTTTGGATTCTTATAATTGGTTCTGGTTAGTTTAAGTTGTTTTTTAAATTAAAATGGGGAAATGAAAAGTGAGAAGGTGTAAGCAAGAGCAACATATAGCTTCCTTGTTCTCATATGTATGCTTTTATCATTAATCTAGCTCTGTGATATCTCCTCTTAACCGTTGTTAGATTATAAAAATATAACCAACCATCGCCTCAACTTCGGAGTTTTGGTGCAGCAGCGGGGACTTTAAGATGGTATGAGACCAACCCAAGTTTGAATCCTACTCTCCATGAATTTCTAAAGTGAATTGAAACAGATACCTCTCCTTGAGTCTAGCTTTCGAGACACGAAAGCGCTCTCAACCTGCCAAGGCATGTTAGAATATTAAGAGTGTAACCCCAAAACCTCACCACACTTTACGAGTTTTGGTGCGATGACATTGACTTTAAAAACAATGAATTTACCTCCAGTGACTTGGAGTTTCATATTGAACTTCGAAGGAAACCAATTATGTGTGGTATAATATTCAACAAATAGGTTACTTGTTATTGGTAAAAGGTAAAGGTATCAGTATGCAATAACATGGTTCTAGATTTTGTTATTATGTCTAGAAATGTGCAATATTGGAGCTTGCTATCAATTAGTTAGAGGGGATTCATGAAGGTGTGTAAATAAGGTGATTATAGACTTAGGAACCTACTTCTAAAACTTCTAGCAGAGGATAAATTGGTCGCTGGGACTGAGAATTGTTTGATGACAGAAGAGGGTTCAGATTTATGAATTAGGGATGAGTTAACATTATCGGTTTGGTGCATTTTAGAATTGTACTATAGACAAACTTCTAGTTCCAATCATTTAGGTCTGAAATACTATCGGAGAAACCATCTTTTATTGTTGATAATTGATATGCACAAGAATGGCTTCTCAAAAGCAAAAAACACACCGTTTTGTAAGTTGTTTGATTCTTGCTTGAAATTAGATCAAGGCTAACTTTGGATTCTCAGTATGCTGACTGGTGATCCTTTGTACTTGAAGATTCCTCCGTTGGATAATACCATGGTAACCTATGTAGGGTCCTGATTTTGCTTATGTATACCAAGTGTAGGATCGTGACCCTTAAGAATAGAGTGCGCTCTTATAAAAATCTGCAGAAGCTTTACACTTAAACACTAGAGGGTGAGTTTGCAAAGTAGATTATAAATTGCAAAGAAAGAATGGTAATATCAGAAAATGAACATCACAAACACAAGCATGTATACTGATTCCACCTCCCCGGTGTACATCCAGTCCCCAAGCAAATTCCGCTTGAGAGTTTTCACTATGATTTTGAAACCTTATAAAATCAAAAGCAAACCTGACCAATTTGTAAGACCATGCAAATTACAAACCCAATTGACAAGATCATGCCAATCGTCACACCGATCTCTAGACCAAGAGATCAACCCCTCTCATAAACCGAGAGAACCTTTCTTTGAAGCAATGTACAATTCTAATCCTATAAGCCTTGATATAGATGTGAATGTATAACAGTGACTTATCAATCTTTTTAACTCTCTGAATATTACCTAAACAAGCTCTAAGAATGATAGAAATAAAGGCAATATCAGAAACTCTCTTTTATAGAAAAACAGATTGAAAAACTAAAAGTTTAGAGAGTTAATTTGCACAATATGTGAATCTTATAAGTGCAAAACTTGGTGGTTGTTTTCTGATGTTTAAACCTATTTATAGCCTCTGAAATGACATAATTTTAAACCCAATTAACGTCCACAAAACGGGTATAAACAGTCACTTATTTAAAACCTGAAATCTGAAAAAACTATATCTGTAATCGACTACAAGTCATAGTAGTCGACTACACTGAGTCTAAACAGACTCTGTGAAGTCAGAAAATTGCTTAGTAGTCGACTACAAGGCATAGTAGTCGACTACACTGTAAACTCAGATTTTGGAATTTTTCTTTTCAGTATTTTGATTGTAACTTTTTCAGCCGATATCGAAATGAGGTGATTTAAGATTTGTTGGAAAGCTCTTGAAGAGACCTACAACTTTGATCTTTTGAGTTTTTCCAGATTCTAAATGGTATGGGGTATAAATAAAATATTTTAAGACTCACTTAATATCTATAAACTCTAATGGCTAACATAGGGAATTTTTATTGTTAACCAACACAATAAGCATGTGTTAGTGTGTTCTAACACTATGTGTGTGCATGTGCGTGAGTGATCAAGGCTTGTACAAATATCTAAGCAAAGAAAATATAAAATTATATTTTGACAATAAAGTATATCTTCTTTTTTGATTCATTTTGTCTTGAACTCATCTATGTCTTGAGTATCTCTTTGAATATAATTATTGATATAGCTCTAATACTGCATAACAAATGTTAGCACATAATACACACAATATATAATATTTGTTATCATCAAAATAAACTAATCTTGGAGTCAAGATTCCTAACATTCTCCCTCTTTTTGATGATGACAAATATATGTTATTAAGATATAAAAATTTTAAGATTCCTAACATTCTCCCTCTTTTTGATGATGACAAATATATGTTATTAAGATATAAAAATTTTAATCTCCCTGCATGAAATCATTAAATGTTATTAAGATATAAAAATTTTAATCTCCCTGCATGAAATCATTAAATAAATTCTTTTACTCCCCCTGCATCAAAGCATTAGTAAAAAATTTAAAATTTTCTATATAACTCCTCCTTTGTCATTAGCAAAAAGAAATAAACATAATTCTAATTAAAATTTTCTTTTCTTTGGTACCTTAATACAAATATTAAGCACTTTGGTACCCTTTTATATTATATTATTAGGATTAGTCCTTAGGAATCCAAATCCACTTGGAATTTGGTTTTCATTTATTAACATAAGTATAATTCTTTGAATTGCAAACTTCATATATATAAGATGAAATATAATCATTCCTATCATGAATATTCAAATTCTTAGGAATCCATATATACTTATTTTGTTTAGCATGAATATTCTTATTATTATTCTTCAAAACATAATCATTCTTTGTAAAATACTTAGGAACAAATCCAATGCCAAAATGATTGTTTGAAGATTTTTGAAATGAGAGCAAATTATTCAAATTCTCTTTACTTTTATTGAATTTACTAACATTCAAACATATATCATCATATTTTAATTTAATAGAAGAAATATCTTTATCTAAAACATTAATGCGAATTTTTAAATCATTGCATTCTGATTTTATATAAACATTCTCATTAGTCAAAATATGATTTTCTTTAAGCAATGATTTATTTTTCTCTTTCAATTCAATTACTTGAGAATAAGAAATAGTAGAAGAATTAAAATTAGAAATTTCTTCAAGTAATCTTTTATTTTCACCTTTAAGAAAATTATGTAAAGCCTTTAATCTCAAAAATGTTTCATATAATTTATTGAAAGCATCTAAAAGCTCTTCATTGTCACTTACTTTATCTTGTGTCATAAAACACATATGAGCGCTTTCCTTTTCTTCGATTTCTTCATCCGAAGACGAATCATCACTATCATCCCATGTAGCCGCCAAAGCTTTCCTTTTCTTGTTGAATTTTGTAGACTTTGACATTGATTTTAGAAAGTGACAATCATTCTTCATATGTCTTGGCTTATTGCAACCATAACAAATGAAATTATTATTAGTATCTTTAACATTACTTGTACCTTCATAAGTTATCTCGAGTGTGTGCCAAATATCATATGCGGATGTGGCCGTTGACACCCTATTGAACTCATTCTTGTTAAGAGCACAAAATAAGACATTCATTGTTTTAGAATCCAAGTTTGCATTGTTCCTTTGAGATGTAGTCCATTCCGTGAAAGGAGTGGTTGGCTTCTCATATTTTATTTCCACAATGCTCCAAAGTTCATAGCCAATTGATTGAAGGTAAATCTTCATTCGGCACTTCCAATAGTTATAGTTCAATCCATCGAACATTGGTGGAAGATTTGTAGAATGACATTCTTTGAATTATGATGTATTTGTTGATGCCATCTTTCACCTTGCTCTGATACCAAATGTAAGGTCCTGATTTTGCTTATGTATACCAAGTGTAGGATCGTGACCCTTAAGAATAGAGTACGTTCTTATAAAAATCTGCAGAAGCTTTACACTTAAACACTAGAGGGTGAGTTTGTAAAGTAGATTATAAATTACAAAGAAAGAATGGCAATATCAGAAAATGAACATCACAAACACAAGCATGTATACTGGTTTCACCTCCCCGGTGTACATCCAGTCCCCAAGCAAATCCCGCTTAAGAGTTTCCACTATGATTTTGAAACCTTACAAAATCAAAAGCAAACCTGACCAATTTGCAAGACCATGCAAATTGTAAACCCAATTGACAAGATCATGCCAATCGTCACACCGATCTCTAGACTAAGAGATCAACCCCTCTTATAAACCGAGAGAACCTTTCTTTGAAGCAATGTACAATTCTAATCCTATAAGCCTTGATATAGATGTGAATGTATAACATTGGCTTATCAATTTTTTTAACTCTCTGAATATTACCTAAACAAGCTCTAAGAATGATAGAAATAAAGGCAATATCAGAAACTCTCTTTTATAGAAAAACAGATTGAAAAACTAAAAGTTTAGAGAGTTAATTTGCACTATGTGAATCTTATAAGTGCAAAACTTGGTGGTTGTTTTCTGATGTTTAAACATATTTATAGCCTCTGAAATGACATAATTTTAAACCCAATTAACGTCCACAAAACGGGTATAAACAGTCACTTATTTAAAACCTAAAATCTGAAAAAACTGCATCTGTAGTCGATTACAAGTCATAGTAGTCGACTACACTGAGTCTAAACAGACTCTGTGAAGTCAGAAAATTGCTTAGTAGTCGACTACAAGGCATAGTAGTCGACTACACTGTAAACTCAGATTTTGGAATTTTTCTTTTTAGTATTTTGACTGTAACTTTCTCATCCGATATCGGAATGAGGTGATTTAAGATTTGTTGGAAAGCTCTTGAAGAGACCTACAACTTTGATCTTTTGAGTTTTTCCAGATTCTAAATGGTATGGGGTATAAATAAAATGTTTTAAGACTCACTCAATATCTATAAACTCTAATGGCTAACATAGGGAATTTCTATTGTTAACCAACACACTAAGCATGTGTTAGTGTGTTCTAACACTATGTGTGTGCATGTGTGTGAGTGATCAAGGCTTGTACAAATATCTAAGCAAAGAAAATATAAAATTACATTTTGACAATAAAGTATATCTTCTTCTTTGTTTCATTTTGCCTTGAACTCATCTATGTCTTGAGTATCTCTTTGAATATAATTATTGATATAGCTCTAATACTGCAAAATAAATGTTAGCACATAATACACAATATATAATATTTGTTATCATCAAAATAAACTAATCTTGGGGTCAAGATTCCTAACAACCTAGGTTTTGATTTTTCCATGGGAGATCAAAATTGCGAGATTATTAAGTTAAAATATCTTCATATTAATTGCTAATTTATGGGGAGAGCAGCATGTTAGTGGCTTGTGGGTAATGGGCTGAAGGATGACAATGTATGATATTAGTTTGACCTGCCTTATTCAGAAGGTAGAGTTTCCTTCCATTGTAATGCAATCTTTGAGTGTTGGTTATCTCACTGACTTGCTAGTAGCTATCTCCAACCTATCTATCTATCTCTTTTGTGAGGCTATGTTTACACATAATCTTCAGCAATTGCCCATTTATTTGTGAGTCATAGGCTTTCACATAACAAAATTTATTATCCATGGGAATCCTTAGCTGTGTTCTTGCCAGCGTTCTAACCATCTATACGTAAATCTGGCATTAGTCTCAATCGGCACCACAGACACTGGTCTTGGCTAGTCAACATTCTACAAGAACTTCTTCGTCCATGATAACCAGACAAAGATTGCTCGTCGCCATCGACTTCACATCAGATTTCGTTAATCTTGGGCCTTGGGGTACAATTTTGATTGTTGTTGGCAGATACTTGGGTTCTTTAGAGGTAATGGACTTTGGATATGTGGTTGGAACCTCTTCCATTGAAAAATCTTAAGCTAGTAGGTCCTGGTCTCTTTTAGTTTGCTTCTGCCACATTTTCACTTTAGTCTTATTATGAATACTTCATAATGGCCAATCATGTCAAACAAGCAACTCCACAGTTTAAATCAGATGATGATAGGCGTGATTAAGCAAAACCCAGAAGCATTAAGGTTGCTTGGCTTTTATTAGATTTTAAGGCTTTTTATTTTTCTTCTATCGTGGAGATATGGAAATTATCTGAACATCAATGGTTTAACATATTTTTAACTACTATTTTGGGTGTATATGGAATTTATTCCAAAAAGTTGATATGCTTGAGTGTCTATATTTGTGATTCTCAAAGGTCTAATCAGTTTATAGTAGTTTGATCTTGATATGAAGGTTTGTGTCATCTGATAAATTGAGATTCCCTCTCTTATTCAGAATGCTTCCCTTCACTTTCCAGTCTTCCTCCTCTCTAGGCCTTTCTCGAAGGAGAGAGGTCATATAGTTGTTATTTGGAAGATGGATTCATGCGTTCATAGGAAAAGGTTATTGACCATGTCAGGCAAACCTTTAGCTGTACATTATTTGTATATGTGAACTTTTGCTGAAAACCTCATAATTGATATATTTTGTTATTTCTAATATTCCAATAATTGCAAAAATCAAGGAGTTACAATTCTTTCTTCCTGTTCTTCTACTTCCTATACCCAAAGATGCAGACCTTAAATCTTATGTGCAGCTACATTTTTCACTTATTGCTGTCCGATTGTGCTCCTCAATCCAAATCTGAGTGTTATATCATGGAACTGTCATATGTGATTACAAGTTAAACAAAACATTACTTTGTAGCCCTAAATAAGGCAAGTTTCCCTAGAGAAGTTGCTACGCTAGAAATATGAAAAATTCCAACTTTGTGACACCACTATGTCAAATTGTGCCTACTCCAGAACCTTTAGTGTTCTCCTTCTAACTCATGCACTACTATGTTGCAAGGACACTACGATTTCTTTTGCGAACCTTGGTAAGTACCCACTTACTGTCTTCCTCCTATATTTATGTGTCAATGTGTGTACATGGAGAAAAGGCCCAATTATAGGGAAATGCTGCAGTATTTGGGAGGTAGCAAGACTGAGATTGGAGTTACCGCCAAATGGTAGATGATACTTTTTTCTTTTCCAATTCATGGTCACTGGACTGGAGTTGGGTTGACATTTAAATGTAAACAATTAGGAAACGACAGAAAATTAAAGTTGTATATTTATATCCATGGCATCAGGCTGTTACTTGGTTCTATCAAGTTGGCTGACCTTCGCAGCTAGCATGGTGGCTGCCAATTGCGACCTCTTAACATTATTTATGTAGGAAATTCCTGGAGGAAAAGGGTACTGAACTTCGATGTTCTGAGTGACATTTAAGCCAGACTTATAGACCATATGCAGCTAGCTGATTATCTCTTGAGCTTCTTGTTTTAGTTGTAATTTTCCAGCTTCCTGTTTCAACAGTCTTTAGATGATAGATGTGCATTGTGACATCATTATTCTATTACCAGATAGAGAAATCCTCGCATCTAAATGATTCCCTTGTAAAGAATCCATGTACTTTGGTTACACAGATAACTTCTTCCTTTTTATATTTTACGGTGTTTACAGATTGCTATTTCTTTTTCCCTTTCCTTTTCCTATGTTACATATTTTTTCTTTCAGAAAATAGAATGTGCTTTTTTGCAGAGAGAATGATGGATATCTGGGCTAACCCTTGGGTATTTCTTTTAGCTATCTTGTAGCAGCAGTCACCTTGCAAAGCTTGTGGAGCCTTTGTCTAGCCTTTGTGGATGTATATGCGCTTCTAGTTAAACGTTGTCTGCGTAATCGCCAAGTTACTTGTTTGTTTGCCATTGGAGATGGGGTGAGTATAGTAATCCTTTCAAGTAGCTTTACCTATGTTTTTGGGTAAATTTCATAAAAGCCGCCAAGTTTGGCCCATTTTGAGAAAAGCTCCCAAAAGTTTGGAAATGTCATTAACCTCCGCAGATTTTGCATTTTTCTGAATCTATTTCAAATAACCCTCAACTTTTTTGGGGTTATTTGAAATTTTTGGGGGGAGGGGGTTAAGTGACATTTCCAAACTTTTCAGGGGGTTATCTCAAAATGTGCCAAAATTCTTGGGCGCTTTTTATGAAATTTAACCTTTCTTTTATTGCAAACTAAGATTATTTTTGTTTTGTGCTGCAGATCACAGCAACTCTCACATTTGCAGCAGCCTGTTCATCTGCAGGCATTACAGTTCTGATCGGTAATGATCTCAACATCTGTTCAGAAAACCACTGCGCAAGTTTTGAGACGGCAACAGCCATGGCCTTCATCAGTTGGTTCACTGTATCGCCATCGTTTCTCTTGAATTTCTGGTCGTTAGCTTCCAGGTGAAAGCAAGTCAGTCTGTCGACTATTTTGTGTCATAGCGTTCATTTATAGTCCGATCTTCATTGTTAATGGTATCTGTGTGAAAACTGGGCTATGGAAATTATATCCCAACTTTACCATCAAAACTGTATTTTTGAACTGATACTTGTGTTTAATGGCATATGGCATGTTGCCCTTTTTGTTTTATGCTTTTCGTCAACTGATTTCTACAACGGGTGCTGATTGAAAGAGCTTATTTCCCCTGTAAAATGAATGGCTGGTAGATTCTTCCCAAAGTGTGTAGCTCACCAACTGTGTTGTCATGAACTATGATTCCGAGCTTGCATTTTCATGCATACAGAAAGAGCAGGAATCGCTGCCGTTCTGGTTCTTTTGTAGCTGGGTGCATGGGTTTGAGGATCAGTAGAAGCTAAATATAGCTTTTCTCGTTCTACTTTTGTTGAAGCATTTAAATCTCAAAGCTAGAGAAACTAAAACAAAACAAAAAATTATATTGGCGTCATGTAAACAGTAAATAGATGGTTTCCCCCCTCCGGTGTTACGTATAATTTCCCCCCCCAGAGGACAAATATTCTTCCAATCGTTCTATAATAAGAGACAAAACTGCTAGGCTGCCTCTCAAAACATGATTTCATCAAAAAAATTTGGTAAGATCAGTACTATGAAAGAAAGAATGAGGGTTTTCTTCAGAGCTACTACTGAACTTGAGTATCATCCTTCCATAATTCCAATGACGCTGATATGTCATCCGCTTGCAGGAAGACATCAAAGCAAGATTGCTACCGGCAGGCACAGTTCGGAGTTCGCACAATAAAGTCGTCGTCAAATTTAGGTTGCCGTTCGGCTACAATTGCAATGTCGTTGTCTGTCATCAACCTTTTGTGTCAAAGTTTCTACTTTCTTCCGCAGGTCAACATTTTCCTGAAACAATGAACTAAGATCTCTTTAGGATAGAAATCCAAACTAGGGCAAGGCAAAGCGTACGATTGTTACCTTTCGCAGCACGGCTAACCTATCCTCGGCACCTTCCAAAGCTCCCTTGACCTGTGAGCAAGTTGCTTTTTAGTTCCATTGCAATATGATGACAAGGGTTTTGATGAACAAAAGGCGATAAAAATAAGATGCTACATGATACAATTGCAGTCTTGCAGAGAAGGAAAGAAAAGAAACAATTGCAAAAACTATCTAAACTCACCCGTAGCCTACTTTCTTGGTTTTGCAAGATTTCTATTATAAGAGTAACATAGCATCCTATCACATGTCTAGAATTCCTAGGCACTATTAAAAATATTATACGTGCAAGTTATGCACAACATAAAAATTGTTAATAAGGGGTTATCTAGTAGTATGAAATAATTAAGCGTATGTTGCGTATCAATATCATACCTTATTATTGTTAGAACACGACTCGAAATGATTTATAGCCAATGAAAATCATGAATCCCAAACTATGCGTACTTAATTTTCATTAGATCGAAATGAACAAAAATTGACAAAAATCATGAAGTAGCTCATGAAAATCATGAATTTATATTTACTTACCATTTGGTCAATATTGACAAAAATCATAGGTTATAGCCCATAAAAACCGGAATTTTTTGATATAAACATAGTTAATTTCCATTCGTCGAAATGAACAAAAGTGGATAAAATCGTGGTTTAGCCCATGAAACTCATAAATTGTGAACTATGCGTACTTAATTGCCGTTTAGTTGAAATTGACGAAAATTAACAAAAATCGTGGGTTATAACTCATAAAAATCGTAAATCTCTATGTACACATACTTAAATTTCATTCGGTCGAAACGAGCAAAAATTGCAAAAAAGGTGGATTATATAGCTTATGAAATCCATGAATTTTGATTGTCATTTGCTTGAAATGAACGCAGATTCACAAAATCATGAATTATAGTACATGAAAATTATAAATTTTGATGAATACATACTTATTTCCAATCAGCTATTGTAAAAATTATGGATTATAACCCATAAAAATCATGAATTTTGAATTATGTGTACTTAATTGCCATTTGTATGAAATGAATGAAACTTAAAAAAAATCGTAGGTTACAACATATGAAAATCGTCAATATTTATGTACACATACTTTATTTTCACTAGGTCAAAACTTGCAAAAACCATAGGTTAGATCTCATGAAAATCATGAACTTTGAACTGCACATACCTAATTGCCATTTGGTTGAAATGAACGAAAATTCAAAAAGATTGTGGACTATAACCCATGCAAATTGCAAATTTAGATATATACATATTAATTTCCAATTGATCGAAAATTGCAAAAAGTCGTGAGTCATAGCCTTCCATGAATTTTGAGTTATGCGTTAATTGCCTTTTTTGTGCGAGGAGCCTTGGCTTAATACAAGCCTAAGTAAACCCTAGGGCCTAGGGTGCCCTAGCACAAGTGTTGCAATGCCTAATAATTAAAGATTAGGTATAGACATGTCAAAGACTCGGATCGACCCTTAGCCTTTTGAGCCAATACCACAAAGCAAACCAGTAGGACAGTTGTGATGTGTTACTTAATTGTCATATGGTTGATATGAATGAAAATTGATAAAATCATGTGTTATCGCATATCTTTATGTACACATACTTAGGGCCTGTTTGGATTTCATTTGGGGTAGAGGAAGTTAAGGAAAATAGGAGAGAAGAAAAGGAAAGTTAATTGAGTTCCCTTCCCTTAATTTCCACCCTATTTTGGAGGGGAACAAATTTTGTATTGTTAGGGCGAACTTAGGGGAACGAAGGGAAACACCTCGCTCTTTAAAAGCTATCCAAATGGTGTGAATTGTCACTCCTACCTTCCCTTCTCCCTTATTCCTCTCAATCCTAACAGAGCCTTAATTTCCATGTGATCAAAACGAAAGAAATTGAAAATATGGATTACAGCTCATGTAAATCATGAATTTCGAATTACGCGTACATAATTGTCATTTGGTTGAAATGAAACAAAATTGACAAACATCAAGGCTATAGTACATGAAGATCGCGACTTTTACGTAAAAATACTTAATTTTGATTTGGTTGTAACAAAAAAAAATTGCAAAAAAATCATGGGCTATAACTGGAAAATCATGAGTTTGAACTACGCATACTTAATTGCTATTTGGTCAAAACAAATAAAAATTGACAAAAAATATAAATCGTAACCCATGAAAATCACAAAATTTTACGTATACATACTTAATTTTCATTCAAGCGAAACGAACAAAAACTAAGAAAATAATGGATTATAGCCCATGAAAATCATGAATTTTCAACTATGTGTACTTAACGGACATTTAGTCGAAATGAACAAAAATTGACAAAACTCGTGGTTTATAGACCATGAAACTCATGAATTTTGAACTATGCGTACTTGATTGTCGGTTGAAATGAACCAAAATTGACAAGAATGAGTTATAACCCATGAAAATCGTAAGTTTAATTACACATACTTAATTTTCATTTGGTTGAAACGAACAAAAGCTGCAAAAATGATAGGCTAATTTGTAACTATGCATTCTTTTTTTTAAGAAAATTGTAACTAACACATTCTTAATTGCCATTTGGTCAAAATGAATAAAAAATAACAAAAATTATGGGTTATATATAACCTATAAAAATCACAAACTTTTATGTAAACATGCTTAATTTCCCATTCGGTCGAAACGAACAAACATTAGAAAACTTATAGATTATAGCTTATGAAAATCATAAATTTTATCATTTGGTTGAAAGGAGCAAATTTTAATGTTCAAAAACACGATTTCATGTTCATGCGGCCCAAAAGTGCTCAATAATTAATTAGATTTTGCGTTAATTAATTGAATTAAGTGGAATTATGCATTATGAAAATTTTAATATAATATGTTTATTATTTATCATATTTCACATATATAGTATTCATGAAAATAGAAAATATACTAAGAAAAGACCAACAAATATGCAATTTAACAATCAATAACTAGTTAACCACTTAAAAAAGCTCAATCCATATATAAAAATTGACTATATAATAAACTCATATATCAAACGTAACTTGATGCTAAAAAAGTCACTAAATTAAACACTTAAACTAAAACTAAACGTCCATAAGCCAAAAAAAAAATCGACTTAGAGTTCGGGTAGTGATGTAACTCAAGATTCATGGTTATTATAAATCATGACACTGAGATAGCAATAACAAAATTAACTTAGGGTTTTGAGTTTCTCCTACAATCATGACTTTAGGAAGATAGAAGCAATGACAATAATGAAAAGAAACAAGTTTCAGTGAGAATTTTAGGGAAGTAACAGGGATTAGGGTTTCAATGAGAATAAGAAAGAGAAAAGATGGGGAGCGGCGAGTTTTAGTGAGCGAGACAAGACAGAGAAAGAGAAGAGTGTTAGTTTTTTTTTTATCTTTTTTTTTGAAGTTTTCGATTTGGTTTTGGGTAAAATTTGTAGACCCGTATCTGAATTGAAAAGCACCCACATAAATACACAATTCAAGCATGCCGGTTTAAGCGAATGCCTGCATAATGGATCGTATTTTGCCAATCCCACATGATTGAACCCCTTTTTCGCTTAATTGACCGATTGATTAGCGCCATAAACCTTTTTTTTTTAATATTAAGATAAAAATTGATAAAAATCGTGAGTTATAACCCATGAAAATCATGAATTTTGAGCTACACATATTTAATTAGCATTTGGATAAAATGAATGAAAATTGACAAAATTCATGGGGGGCCCACGAATATCATAAATTTTGGTAAACACAAGTAAATTTCCATTTGGTTAAAACTAAAATAATTGACAAAAAACGTGGATTATAATAGCCCATGAAAATCAAAAAAATTTATGTTCACATACTTAATTACCATTTGAATGAAAAGAACAAAAATTTGAGAAATCATTGGTTATAGTTGTTGGTACGTGTATCATGATCAACTCGGTTTGATAATTAACAAACATGTATAAATATATATATATATATATAATATATTATATATATATGATTATATTATATATATACTATATATATATATAATAGTATTATATCATATATATATATTATATATATGTTTTAATATATAGAGAGAGAGAGAGGAGACATGGTCATGCTTGATACAGACAAAAAATTATGCTTGTGTAGTGATGATGGCATAACCGCCTTCATCATTCAAATGGTTGCATATCCTCCATGCACTCCTCAACCATGGTGAATGTGTCCCTCATTTGAATGAGTGAGAGAATTGTGGGCCCCGCCTACAGCCAAAATTTGTGCTTGTACAAGCGATACCCATATTTCTCATAGTATATTAATATAATACTATAATTATATTAGTAATAATATATATAGATATATATATATACAGAGAGAGAGGAGATTAGAGAGAAATGAGTATGCTTGGTAACAACATAAATTTTTATGCTTGATAGTAAGGTAACATATTCACCTTCTCACTATTGAAAAAATTAGGGGGCTTAATTCACATGAGTTGGGAAGTGTTAGGGAATTGGAATGAGTGGACTGGAGATAGACACCTACTACCAAGCATAAAATTTATGCTTGGACCAAACATATCATTTTTCTCATACTTATATAATAGTAGTATTATACTATATAATACATAATATAATATATATATAATGGTATATGATAACATTCGATATAATTATCAAATGAAAATATATATATATATATATATTTATTTATTATATAACGTGTTTTAATAAATGTGCAGGTGAACGATTTTGTAATTTTAGATTTGAAGCACATAAGATTGTCTGTTATTCAATAACAAATCTATATAATCAGTTTGAGCCAAATCAGAGTTGTAGAGCTCAAGATATGATCAATTTAGTGAACCAGTGCAGAACCGTAAATACCCCGAAATCTGTCAAAATAGAGAACCCGTTTGCAATTTTTGTTCATGTACGATACGACGATATAGTCTTTTAAAGAATGGTTTGATCTATAAAAGGGCTACAAAATCATTCTATTGCGTTTAATTGATGTTGAGTTTGGTAGAACACTTTTATTATGATCATTCTGA